GTCTCTTACACCTGCAGCGTCTCTTACACCTGCAGCGTCTCTTACACCTGCAGAGTATCTTACACCTGCAGCGTCTCTTACACTTGCAGCGTCTCTTACACTTGCAGCGTCTTACGCCTGCAGCGTCTCTTACACTTGCAGAGTCTTACGCCTGCAGCGTCTCTTACACCTGCAACGTCTCTTACACCTGCAGCGTCTCTTACACCTGCAGCGTCTCTTACACCTGCAGTCTCTTACAGCGCCACAGTTAAGCTAAGATGCTACAGATGTAGCGCTGCACTTCTCTCAAGCATCTTAACATTTATATATGTTTATGATCAACCCCCCGGTGAACAACTGCCCGTACTAAGATCGTTCAGCTGGCGAGCGATCAACACAGGTGTCTCCACCTCCTCCACCTGCGAGCGTTCTCTGCACAGAGACAGAGGAGAAACTGCTGGCTGCTGGAGAGATGTAGGTAACCAGGAAAACTTGGAGTGGATTTTTAGTGGCTTGAGTATTCTTCTAGTAATCAAGTGGAATGGATTTGTTCACGAAGGAAGAGAAAGTGCCAACTGAACTAATGTTTCACAATAAAAGTGTGTGTGTGTGTGTGTGTGTGTGTGTGGGGGGGGGGGGGGGTCCAAATGAATGTTTTTTTAAATGTGGGGAGGCACATCCCCATCACATATAATGGTTGCGACGCCTATGCTCACACGGCTTGTATAGGGACAGAACATCCCATAACAACAGACCTCCAATCCCGTACTCACGGAGCACCTCCCACTGTGTGTGTCGAGGACCACCATGGTCAGACGCCTTCTCCAGGTCCACAGAACACATGTAGACTGGATGGGCAAACTCCTCGACCCCTCGAGGATCCTAGTGAGGTGTTTTTTTTTTGCTTTTTCAGCTATTTAGCTTTTTAATGCAAATTTGAGCCTTTTCAGTTAATTCCAAATTTTTTGAGCTTACTGTATTTCATCTTTTGCCACTTCCTTCTGGTAGTTCAAGCTTCTTTCTGCCTTTTCAGCTAGGTGGTTGTTGTTGTTTATAATTTCAGCTTTTCTTTTGACCAATTTCCTATTTTTTGTGCTAATTTCTGCTCATTTATACATAATTCAGCAAAAATGTGTTCTTTCTGCTTTCTTCTGCTAAATAAGGCTTGTTCTTTAATTTCAGCTACAATTCAGCATGCTTTTAAAGCTAATTTCAGCTGTTTTTCAGCAAGTTCTTCAACAATAAGCATTCACACTGCATTTTTGCGGGAAATGCAATTTCTTTATTTTTTATTTTATTCATAAATTATGACATTATTTTCAAGAAAAAGGTTTTGTAGACATTATTGTTATATTAATATATGGCCAAAACAGCTGAAGATCATTTCATCTGAGGGTTGAAAATGAGTGAATGTTTTAAATAACAGGATGCTGATTTTCTGTTGGGTGAACAAATTGACTTGTCAATGTTAAACAGATTAGTTTTGTGTGTGTTTGCCAGTTTGATGACGGTAGAGCGGACTTTGTGTGGTCAGAAGAAAAGAAGCTTGATCAACACAACCTGACTGCCTTCATCAAGGAGAACAGCCTGGAGCTGGTCATCTCGTTCAGCCAGGAGGTGAAGCACATACGTTCAATTAGAAAACACAAATAAAATCTCAGGTTAAACTCAATATATTCTGCGTACGTTTCCAGACAGCGGACAAAATCTTTACTTCTCGGATCCTCCTGCACAGCCTGCTGTTCATCAACTCCACGGTGAACAGTCACATTGACCTGGTGGAAAGTTTCAGGACTGTGGCCAAAGAGTTCAAAGGAAAGGTAAAGACCTGGAGTTTGTGTTATAATAAACAAGTTCATTTTGCACAGTCCCGTCAGGAAAATATTTCAATAATTTAAAAAATAAAATGAATACCCTGTAGGTTACAATGTAATACCCTGCATGCTGGAGTGGCTTGTACAAGCTGTCTCTGAGATTCTGAGATTCTGAGGGCTATGAGGGTTCGAGACCTCCGAGCAGGGGCGGTCCTAGCCTGTTCGGTGCCCTGGGTGAAAAATCCCTCCAGCAACAATTGCACTTTTATCAAGACACAAAATTCACTGCACAGCTGTCAAGGAAGGTCTGCACCTTTTTTGAACAAGACAGTACACACGATTGCACTTCAAGAAACACAAAATAAATTGCATATCTGTCATGCAACCATCTTACCCTACTTTAAACAGGTGATTCTACACTATTACTTTTCAAAATGAGAAATGCAGATTAATCTACGCAACAACTGCCACCTAAATATTGACTCTTTTTTGCCTTCTTTGATGCAAAATCATCAATAATGTCATGGTATGAAATCTGCTCAGCAGTTGTATGGTTGATAGTGATGTAGCAAACAGCTAACCGTTAAGACTGTCTTATAAATATGACATATATGTCCAATTTGTGAAATATTAAGAATAGGAGATAAATCAACACCGCTTCCAGTTAATGGCTATTTAACGCGAACCAAGCTGCATCACAAGATCATTATCTTTAGTAACTACAGTAGCCTAATATTACTTTTATATGTAGTAGTTTAATTTAACAAGAATTTAAATCTTCAAAATTGTAATATTTTCTGCTGAAAGACAAATATGTCATCCTAAGCAGCTAAACGTACACAACAGTTAGCGTCTTATGTTATTAATGACATTATTAATAATAATTGTGTGGAGTATTTATGAACAAATAATATATCACCTGTTGTAGATATCTCTTTCAACAACGTCAGTGAGGGAAATAGTTTAATTCAAACTTTACTGAAAAGTTGAAGAATAACGTTAACGTGAGTAATTTAAAAAAAACGTTTTCATTGCTGATAATTGTGACGTACGTGGTGATTCTGACATAAATATTATATTCAAATCAGACGTGCCGCAGTTAGCGCTTATAAATATTGTAATTTTCAGACTATAAGGCGCAATAAGCGAAACAAAAACAGTCAGATAAGTCAAACTTTATTCAAGTCATTCACAATAACCACATAAAATTGGTTCGAGGTCCATAAGCACAACCAGAATTACCATATTTTCCGGCGTATAAGTTGATCCGGATTATAAGTCGCATCAGTCACATCAGTCACAAAAAAAGCTTAATGAAGAGGAAAAAAAACATATATAAGTCACTTTGACGAATAAGTTGCATTTATTATGCGTCACCGCTGACTCGTTGCTTATTTAATGGTCAGAACAGCTTCATTTCGCCTGGGCGGCATGGCACCATCACAGCTCTCCAGTGTTCCTCTGCCTGCACCAGCTGAGTTAAGCGAACCTGCACGGGAGGACTCGCTGTTGCAGTTCTTAAAAATTTAAAGTGTCAGTCAAAAATTGTGTTATGAATTTGGAAAAAGAAAAAGGATATAAGTTGCTTTGACGTATAAGTCGCAGGACTGACAAATCTATGCAAAAAACTGACTTATACGCCGGAAAATATGATGATACATAAGACGCACCAGATAATAAGGCTGACTGTTGATTTTTGAGAAAATTAAAGGATTTTAAGTGTGCGGGTAATCATAGATATCTATGTCATGCAAAATTCAGAGCACAGTTAATAAAACAGCATTGTCATGAATTATTAAAGTTTTGGGGGGATTCAAGTTGTTTTAGAATGGAGAGCAAGTTTGGGCAGATTCAACCAAACTGTGGATAAGAATCAACCATTTTTTATCAGTTAAGATATTAACAGTTAAAAAATTCCAAATAAAACCCACTTAGGAAAATCTGAGCTATAACTTTAATGTGAATATTCTCTGCAGTGACAGTAAATAAATCGGTTTCTGTCTTCAACAGATGCTGTTCATCACGATTGATGTGACAGCAGAATTGTCTCATGTCCTGAAATATTTTGGTGTGTCAGAAAGTGACGCGCCCACCGTACGTGTTATCAGTATGGAAACGCAGAAGAAGTTCGACATTCCCTCTGGGGATCTGACTGAAAATTCACTCCGGCAGCTGTGTCAAGAAATTTTAGATAACACTGCCAAGGTATCGCCCCACAGTCCAGACATTTCAAAGTCACACAGCAGCATTAAACTAACAGCTTGTCCTGTTTTTATGCTGCAGCCTTACTATCGCTCTGAAGAGATCCCAAAGGACTGGGACAAAGGACCAGTAAAGGTTTTGGTGGGCAAGAATTTTGAAGCTGTTGCTCTGGACCCGACCAAAAACGTCTTTGTTGAGTTTTGTAAGTCAGTCTGCATCTTATGTTCTGCATCTATTATATAATTTACATTTGCTAAAGTTTCCCTAAATGTAAGGGTTTCTGCCTCACGGGCTCAAGTTTACTGATCAATAATTGTGATTTCTTTTGAACCAAGATTAAAACTTGAAAAGCTACACATTTGCGCTAAACTTAACTACTAAAGTCTGTCTGGCCCAAAAAAAAATAAATAAAAATAAATCCAACAAGAACAACTTTGGACAAACTGTATATTTTTATTTTATTTTTTGTGAAATTAATTTATGTTTCACCATCATCAATCTAAAATTAAATTTGAAAGATTTATCACATATTTTGTATTCTACTTTTAATCAAAGTTACATAAAAAATGAAAATGATGGCAATGAATACAAATATAACTAATATGTCATGCACCAGAACAAACTTAAAACCATGTCAGTTTTTAAAACAGAAGTCAGAATAGAAGGAAATACTGTATATGGGTCATTTGGAGAAGTGTGTCTATGAAGTGTTTTAAAACCAAATCACAACAGAAGTCATCTCAGGACACTGTAAGAAAACTTTCACATAATGTACATTAAAAAAACAGTAAAAGTTATCTATCTAAGGAAGCCAGCAGATTGTGTAGAATCCACTTTGTCACAGTGTCCCATCCTGAGCAAGCACAAAGGCAACAGTGGGAAGGAAAAACTCCCTTTTAACAGGAAGAAACCTCCAGCAGAACCAGGTTCCAGATGAGCTGTCATCTACAAAGTATTTCAACCGGCTGGCGTTTGAGAGGAACAGGAAGGAGAAACAAACATAGAATGACAGGTCCAGATGTACCAGATGACACTGGCTCTACGCCTGCCTTCAGCAGACTCTCATTTAAAATCATATTGTCTAAAAATAACTGACTATGATAACTGACTTTATTAATTAATTTATCATTTCCTGCCTGAAATTACAGTAAACATCAGATTTTTTTCTATGAAGCCTCCAAATAATTTGGGGTTTATAATCTAAGCTGACAAAATGTTGACATTATGTTATACAAACTGTAGTGTAAAGAAAACCAAGTCAGAATTAAATGTTAAAGTGGCTGCCAGTTGCTCAGTAAAGTCACACTTTTAAGCACATGCCTGTGCCTGTCACTGCCTACTTGCAGCTTTATGAAACAGGCAGACAGAAATGCAAAGCAAAAATTAAGCCTTAAACCATTACTGTGTGAAAAACCTAAGGCATATAGAAAAAATTCCTGAACAGAAGTACAGAAATGTCAAAGCATCTGAATTCCACTTGTATCAATGTTTCTTCAGTGTTTATAGGAGATACGACAAAAAAAAAAAAAAAAAAGATAATTTGACGTTTTCAACTATATTCAAATACAGTGAAAATAAAAATAATTTTGGTATGTGCCCTCTGTACTCAGGGAAAATTAAGAGAAGAAAAGGTGAGTCCTGTTGCAGTGACACTGTAGACACATTGAGTGACTGGTCCAGGGTGTGTCCACTATAACAGGCCAAATTAACCCCTGCCCAGATTAAACCAGAGTTTTGACCCAGGTCAAAGTATACCCCGGTATAAAACTGTCCTGGGCCAAATTGTACTCGGAAGTGTAACATAACCTAGACCAGATTACACCCCTCCATGTCAGAATATACCCATCTATAGACCCATAATCTGGCTAATTCATACCCCACATACCAACTGTTTAGTGTTTTAAGATTTAAGTCAGTTATCTTTCTCACTCAACTTACCTGACAAAGCAGAAACCCCAACAAAATGTTGAAAAATTAAGTAATTCTTGTGTATATGACTCAACACTACTGATATTATGGGGTTATAATCTGGCCTGAAGGATAGGCCTAGACCAATTTATACTCCAGAGTAGAACACTGCTGAAGGATGCTATTGCAAGGAGTTGGCTGTACAAAGAAAAAGAAAGGCCTATGTTCTAGTGCCTGAATTGCATAAAAAGTGTAAAAAATCTGGAAATAAAGAGTTTGCTCACAATAACCTGGCACCTTTAATGATAAAATAAAACAAAATGCTAAATGTTTCTCAAAGCACTTGATATAGTCGTTCAAGTTGGAGAAACCTGAAATGTTTTACAGAGATGTTTGCTATAATCCCAACATAAAAAATGACTTCTTATTATGTCTGCGGACATCTCTGCTTGTGTTTTTTGTGTGTAGATGCGCCGTGGTGTGGACACTGCAAGGAGCTGGCCCCCATCTGGGATCAGCTTGGGGAGAAATACGTAGAGCACGAAGACATCATCATAGCCAAGATGGATGCCACAGCCAATGAAGTGGAGTCTGTTGTAATTAATGGATTTCCAACAATTCAATACTTCCAAGCTGGTGACAAAGTGGTACACACACACACACACACACACACACATGCATGCGTGCACGCACACACATAATTTTTAACATGATGTGGTTTTCTCTCAGGTGATCAGTTACACAGGAAAAAGAGATCTGGAGACGTTTTCTAAGTTCCTGGATAACGGAGGAGTTCTGCCAAAGGAGGAAAGTGATGAGGTTGAAGATGAAGATGATGATGAGGAAGATCCTGATGCTGAAGATACAGATAAAACCGACGATCAGCGCAAGGTTTGTTTTTTATTCTTAAAGATTTTTCCCAGTTTTTAAAAACTCCACATTCAACTTCAACATTTCTCCCTGTTTTTCAGGAGGAGGAGGAGTCGTCAGAAGTATCGTTTAACAAGACGTCTAAAGATGAGCTGTAACAACACTCAGCCAGTTTGGATCAACCTACCATCTTCCAGTTTTCTTAATAAAAGCGCCACAGGTTTTAAGCTGTTATGTAGTTGTGACTATGAATGGATTTTGAACTCTGTGACTTGATATCTTTATTAAAATGTATGTGTGGCTTTATAAGTTAGGAAACATAAATATTCAGAAAGTGACATTTTTGAAAAGTGGAAAAAAACAAAACATCATAGCACCCTTGAATGAGCTAAACATTTTGATGGATGAATGGCTAAAATATTACAAAGTCTGCAGAAATAGTTCAACTGCAAATAATAATAATAATATAATAATAAAATGTTAGAATGCTGATTCAATGATTACATTATACTGACAATGCTAATGTCTGCTGTTATAATGTTATTAACTGAGGAGTTTAAAGTGGCGTTTAGAGTTTAGTGACATCACGATCGAGCACCGCGAGTGACGTCACGAGCGCCACAGTATTGCCGCACTTATGGGAGCTCCGCTTCGACTCGATCTTTTTTGCGCCTACACTGCACACCCATGCTACAAACATGACCGTGACACACTTGTGGAGTTTTGTGTGTCACTGCCTTGCCATCATGTCATCGTGGTTCAGTTCCCGGCTCCCCTCCAGCTTCGGGCTCAGGCCTGTCATGGCGGCCATCTTTATGATCTTCCATCTGCCTGAATGGACTGAACTCTACGGACCTGTTCGGCTCCGCGGGAAAAACCCTGGATGTTCTCCGTGTTAGGATAATTTAATATTATCCTTGAATAGCTCATTAAATAAATATGCCACACAGGAGAGGAGAAGATATTTTCTTCCCAGGTTCTAATCGTACAAGATGAAACAGAGTTGAAATACAAGCAGGCAAAATGTTTACATGGTGCTTGGTCTCCAAGTCTTCTCCAAGAGAGCATAAAAAGTGTATTTTTATGATGTTAACAGAGGCGAAGCCTTCCAGTTTAGGCCTTGAGTTTATCAGGTGAAAAGCTGCATGTTTCAGCTCCACTCTGTCCAGACATTAATAAGTGAAAAACATCTGTGATCTTTCACATCTTCTATCACTCTGTCTCCTGGACCTGGTTCTGGAGGGTGGTCTGGGAGGGCAGCTGCTGGGATCGTTATCATCAAGCTGCTAGCGGGGCCTGCTATCGCTGCTAACAGGATCCTCCATCTGTCTGCACGGAACGAATTCTACGGACCCGTTTGGTTCCGCAGGGAAACCTGGAATGTTTTCTGTCTGCCAGACCCGGTTCTGGACCGCGGTCTGTGAGGGCATCTGCTGCGGTCATTGTTAATCAAGCTGCTGCTGACCAAACCTGCTAATGCTGCTAACAAGACCATGTGGCTAGCAGAACGGAACCATGCTGCTGAAAGACAATGTAGATGTTTTTCTTTTTCAACTTTGGCACCTTATTTTAGTATTTTAGTAGTATTTTTGTATGTTTTAGTATTTTTGCCACATGCTTTGGTATTTCGGGCAGCACGGTGGCACAACTGGTAGAGCTGCTGCCTCTCAGCAAACACGTTACTCTGGTTCAAATCCTGGTCCGGAGGTATTTCTGGGTGGAGTTTGCATGTTCTCTCCGTGCATGCGTGGATTTTCTCCGGATACTCCGGTTTCCTCTCAAGACCAAAAACATGCATGTTAGGCTGATCGGTAACTCTAAATTGTGTCTAGGTGTGAGTGAGAGAGTGAATGGTTGTTTGTCTTGTTTGTCTCTGTGTCCCTGTGATGGACTGGAGACCTGTCCAGGGTGTTCCCCAACCTCTCACACAGTGATAGCTGGACATGGGCACCAGTGACCCCCACGACCCAAAAAGAAAGAAGCAGGTAAAAGATAATAGATGGCTGGATGCTTTGGTATTTCTTGTTGTTGTTGTTTGTTTTTTGTGAGTCGAGACGGTTCTTCTCGTCATTGCATTGTTGACATTGTGTTGATTTTGCATATGACAAATAAACCAAACTTGAAACGTGATGTTTAAGTTTCTCAGTGTCTTGTTCATGAGTGATGGTAGAATGGAGCAAGAGATGGACAAACAGACTGAAGCTTTATGTGCACTAATGAGGGCATTCCTCTGGTTTGTTGTACTGAAGAAGAAATTGAACCCAAAGGCAAAGCTCTTGTTTTACTGGGTCGACGTTCTAACATTCACCTGTGGTCATAAGATATTGATCATGACCAAAAGAGCAAGATCCCAGATACAAGTGGCTGAAAGAAGGTTTCTCCATAGGAAGGTGGCCAGGATCAACCTTGGAGATAAGGTGAGTAGCTCTGTCATTTGGGGGAGCTCAAGTGGAGCATCTCCTTCATACTGAAAGGTGATGCCTCCTGGCTGCTTCCTCTTTGAGATGCTTCAGGCACGTATTTCTAGGAAGAGACCTAGAGAAATAACTCACTGGTGGGATTACTGTATCTCTCTAGTCTGGGGAGAGGGGAGGTCTGGGTTTTGAACTTGGACCTGACCTCAAATAAATGGAAAAGAAAATGTATGTATCTCTGCATTTACCTATGTATGTATGTATCTATGTATGCATTTATGTATGTCTGGATGGATCAATTAGATTGTTTGAGACAAGCAAGATGCAATTCTGCTTGTATAAAGATATGAAAATGCTCACATACATGAACTACATCTCTAAAATACATCTTGGTAATTACAGCAGGTGAGATCAGTAATTTGTCCTTTCTGAGTTACTGTACTTTGGTTCAGAAAGAGCTCCACCCATTTTCTTGTTTGTTTGTTTTTTGCTTCCTCATATAAGCATGTCTGTCTATCATGTAGCATGTGAACCTCAACTGGTGTTTTGATGGTTAGAGTTTACATTGCTTACCCATCCCTCTATACATTATCTTTACCCGCTTCTTCCTTTTCGGGTCATGGGGGTCACTGGTGCCCATGTCCAGCTATCACTGTGCGAGGGGTGGGGACATGTCCGTCACAGGGACACATAGAGACAAATGAGACAAAAAACCATTCACTCTCTCACTCACATCTAGAGACAATTTAGAGTTACCAATCAGCCTAACATCTATGTTTTTGGTCTGTGGGGGGAAAACGGGAGTACCCAGAGAAAACCCACACATGCACGGAGAGAACATGCGAACTCCACCCAGAAAGGCCCCTGGCCGAGGTTTGAACTGGCGACCTTCTCGCTGAGAGACAACAGCTCTACCATCTGATCCACATCGATTACCCACAAACGCATTTTCCTAACAAGTGTGGCACCATTTCAGGGAAAATAAACAGACTTTCTATTGGCAAAATATTTTTTTTGCCAAGAAAATAGTTGTGATAAAGCAATTCTCTACCAAACTCAAATTTCCTTTCATTTTTTGCAAGTTTAACATAACCTGAGGGCTAGAGGGAAGCATGCGAGGGTGATGTCTCCACCCCCGAGGAAACTGGGAATGCTGGTTTCATTGTGAAACAAGTGTGTAACTACGTTTCTGACAGAAACAGGTTGAGCAAGATGTGATGTCACAAAAATTATCAGCATGGTACGTGTTTCCTCTTACCAGCCGCGGTTTCTCCTTTGTTCAAGGTAAGTCTTGTGCTCCTACAATTCTCACATGATACTGTTTAATAATTGGGTAAGGATCCTGTGTGGGCTTGGAGCTGGTGTTTGGAGTGTATGTAGGAAACAAGCCAAAGTCTGGTCGCATCAGACATGAAGGCTTGGATGTGTTTGTTTACAGAAGAACTGAAACTCATGTGAGCTGGAGTTAACGTGGCTATTTTTAACAGGTAATGGCTAATAGAAGCTGTTTTAGGTGACATACGTCGTTAAGACTTTGATTATTTATCTTTACTGTTACAGCTGCCATGTTAATCCAGAAACAAACAGATGATGAGCATTGTATGTTGAAGAAGTTAAATGCTTTAAATTTATCTGATAAAACTGTTCTGAACGAGTATTATCTCTGAATCAGTGGGATTTGAATGAAAAATATCAGGGTTTTGAAACACTTCCTGCTCTAAATATGGGCTCAATTAAAACCAGGATCATATATCTGAGGTAAGCTTTCTATTTACATTATAACCCAGGCCAATGTGTGCAACCCAGAATGTAAATGACTTAAGAAACAGACGTAATGTCAGATATGCTGCTGGCTGTGTATTTTGTTCCTGTCACTTTAAACCGGCACTACTCTGGTGAGGGCTCAGAGTAACCAGTACACACTGAAAACACACCTTCTCATTGTTTATGACCTGAAGGCGGAGACAGTGCTTCCACAGCTGAACCATTGCTGCAAATTGCTGTCCATCCCGCTCCAAACATCAAAGAGCTTGAAGTACAAAGAAAACAAGTGGCCAATTAAAGCACCCACAGTAGCCACAACTGATTTATTAGTTCCTGTTTCAACTTATACTCACCTGACTGAATCAGACACAAACACTGGCTTTGGGAGACAGTGGGACTGCTGTTAGAAAACATTTTGAAGATGAAGATATTTACTTACTTTTCAATGTAAATGCACTACTGGGTAATATGCATGTTTAGCATTAGAAATATTATTTATGCGTGTTTTATGTTGCATCTTGTGAAACATGCTGGCTCTCATTGTCCCTTGTTGCAGAGCTAAGAGTGGAAATTGGAAAAAGCCATGTTTGTCAGTGTGTCTATCCATCCGCCTGTAAATGCTGTGAGCATAACAGGGGAAAAAAGAAACCAAAAAAACAACAGACTTCCATTTAAATGTGTTGCTATATCAAGGCATAAGAAAGGTTCCTTTCGAAAATTGGGTTGCCACGTCAAAATCCAAGATGGGTGCCGCCATATGTGTATTAACCTTGTGAATTGGGTAACTTGAAAAATAAGCAATGTGCCAACTTCCATTTTTGTGTGTGGCTGCATCGTCGTGTAAAAAGGTCACTGAGTTGTCAAGTCAAAATCCAAGATGGTCACCGCCATTTATGTATACTGTACCATACCAGTGGTTCCCAACCCTGGTCCCTGAGGAACGCCATCATGTTTTAGTTGTTCCTCTGCTCCGACACAACTGATTTGAATGAAAGGGTGATTAACAGTCTTATGCTGAACTTAAGGAAGTAGTTAAA